AGGGACCCCCAGAAAGGTACCCCTAATTTTGGGAAACTACCATGTCAACCTTAAAGGCTCCTCAAGTCCCTAAATGATCGTTTAGGGTTCAGGGTTCAGGGTTTAGGGTTTAGGGATTAGGGTTTCCCCCGTATATTAAACCCCCCTTCTTTCTAGTTCAGTCTGCGAGTCAAATAAGGCTTCAAGGCGGGGAAGATTGACCCGCGCTTCTTCGATCCAAAGCCAGAGACCTGAGTAGAAGCGCTGCTCAAACGCGCTTTGCACTCACCTGTCTCCTCTTTAGGTGGGTCTTCATGGAGAACCTGGAGCCACTTGCTAAAGACGAAGGCGGGTTTTGGGAGGCTTTGGGACAGTCAAACCCNNCCTAAACCCTAAACTTCAAACCTAAACCCTAAACTCTAAACCCTCAACCCTAAACCCAAAATGGGGCCTGGGAGGCGTCAAGAAGCCTGGTGCCTCCCTCACCGAGTACTTCAAACAGCTGAAGAAGCCTGAGACTTACATCTTCACATCTTCCCTAGCAGTATGGCATACTATATTGCATCATACTATACTATACACTATACTATGCTATACTATAGTACATTTTAAGAAATATACATGGTAGTTTCCCAAAATAAGGGGATCCCAATATAGACCCCAATATACTATAGTCATTATTATAGGGACCTCCAAAAGGGTACCCCTAATTTTGGGAAACCCCCATATGTATATATAGAGTATAGGTCTTCTAAAGCAAATCCCAGTCTGTGATGCTTTGCAGGAAGCACAGGGGAGGCTACGAGGAGGTCGGGACTTCAACAAGTGGGTTTAGGGTTTAGGATTTAGGGTGTAGGGTGCAGGGTTTAGGGTGCAGGGTTTAGGGTTTGCCAAGTGCAGGGCGACGACATGCGCATTATCCCGGCGCACGAGTTCATCGCAGCTGAGAACCCCGTCAAGCTCTTGGGCGCTGCGAGAAGATAGCTTCTCCCATTGTCTATCTTGACGGTTTCCAAAATTCATTTTTTTTTTTTTTGGAGGGGGGGGGGGGGGG